TGTAATTCGTGTTCAAAGTTGAAAAAAAGCTCGAAAAAGCAGTGTTTTCACATTTCGTTGATTTTCTCGAAAACTGTAATTGATTGAATGAAGCCAATAGATGCATATGAAAGCTGAATGTTTGGGGAATCTAGCAAGTATCGATATATTACTGTGGTTTTATCCGTTTGGCTGTAATTCGTGTTCAAAGTTGGAAACCACTGATTTAAATAATTGATTGATTTATGCGAAGATGAAAATATACTGTAAACAATCTTGTTAGAGTTACGAGCAATGTTAAAAGAAATGAAATGCAAATGCAACACATCCCTCCTCCCGATCCGTCTTCGTTCCGGCTTTATTGGAGTGCCATGTATTTTGCTGAGAAGGGAATAAAGGATTCGGACCCATACAAATCCTGCATAAAGTCTATAAGAATATTCGCATCAAAAAAAAAACTGTGCATACGAGACTGCCATCATGCATAACGATGTCGACGACCCCTTTCTCCTCAGACTTTAAAAAAAAACAACTTAAAATTTTTATTATAGAATTTAAGAATTAGCAAATTAATTGTGATAATTTGTTAAATTTTATTGTGTGAAGTTTAATGGTGAAGATCATTAATTGGTTCAAGGATTAGATGGTGAACGCTTTAAATACTTCATAAAGGGGTACGTTAATGAATGCGATTCGTTGTCAATTTGATGCTTATTGTGTTCCAATTTCAATTGTGTGAATTGCAGATGCGTTAACGAGCGCGTACGTGTCTCATTATGCGGGGGCGGCTTTGATTCATTTGGCTGCCAAAGTCCGGAGTTGGCGGTGGAGGGTGGTGGTTGACTAGGGAGGGTGGAGGAGGAGGAGGAGGTTATGAAGCCGTCGGCGACGGCGTTGAATTGCATTTCTCGCATTGCAAATGGCGACATACATACATTTCCATTGCCACGTGCATAATATGAACGAGAGGGATGCTTCGATAAGTGGGTTTATTCGATGGCTGCAATAATTTCTCTTCGAACGTTCATGATGATGATGATGTTGCCGTTGTGAGGGTAGATAATGTATCGATCTTCATCCTCCTCCTAGAGGGATGCGATTGTGATGCAGCCGCAAAGGCCGTTATTAAATCCCTTCTTCCATCACGAAACGTTGGATTTTCCGAGAAATTAATAATATAATTCCAACATTTCTCTTCTTCAAAGAAACTTTTATTGCTCCTTTTCTTCCACCTCCAAATTATTTTTTTTTCTTCTTCTTCTGCGAGTTGCTCGATTTTCTTTATCCGACACTTTTATTTGGACCAGGATATATTTACACGGAGCCCGTGACAAATGCACGGAATGCTACAAATTCTCCGAGCGATATTTCATGAGAAAACCGCAAAAGCCCATGCTTATTTATTCTTTCTTTCTATCCCATTCCCTCCACGAAACACGACATTCTTACGTAAAGCGTTTAACATAAACCAAAAATCCCATTTACATTTTCTCAAATTAATCTTACTTTTTCTCATCTACTAATTGTATAGTTTTATCAACTAAAAACTTGCATAATCTACTACACAACCCTTCTTTTTAACGTCTTAACTTAATAACATTTTGTGCTCTGCCAGAAAACGTTATTTGGCCTGGACCCAAACGAATCCCGAACTTCTATTTTATTCATAACGTTTATTTGCTTAAACATTTGCAACATAATCCGATGTTATTTCAACTTTTGTATAAACACATACGAATCTTGTTTAACTATTTAAAGCACATGTCGAAAGATTATTACTGTGCATTATATGCATTATATGTTTTCATTCAACTCTTGTAAATAAACGCAAAAAACTGAAAAACGAATGCGAAAGAACTTCTGTTTCATCGTGGATTCGTCGACGTTTGTTCTGTTGATGTTTAAAGTTTCAAGCTAAAACTTTGGAATGAGAAAAGTTCCGTCGGTGGTGGAGACTACAAAATTATATTCATTTGAGAATATATTTGGTACATACCGGATTTTCAGTGAATGCTATTAACCTTTGCGTTTCAACATTATTAACAAATAGTTTATTTTAATGAACTAATTTAAATATGTTTGCTTTTTTCAGATCTCTTCAATCCAAGTAAATTGGTGAGTATTTTTTGTTAGTTATAAGAGTAGAATCATAGTTAAGGTTACATTGAAACAGTGTGGTAATCAATATGTAGCTTACGTGTACAGTATCTGGGTTCATCTGAAGAATCCCCGCAGTCGTTGGCGTTGTTGCAGAACCTCGTCAGAGGCACGCACTTCCGATTTTCGCACCGGAATTCTGAGAGTTTGCAGCCGTTCGGCGGCGATGGTGAAGCCGCCAGAGAAGTCGTCAGCATCGTCAGCAGAAAGCCGAGCGCGCGACGATTGGAATCTGCAAGAGAAAGCGGTTTCAATTAATGACAACAAAAAAATAATTTCAGCAACATTAAGTTCCCTTCCATTCTTTTAATCTCTCTTTTTTTAAAACTTTCTTTCATTCCCTTTATGGACTATAATTAAATCGGTTCCGCTGCCCTTTCTCCAATGAAAATTCCTCGTAAAACTTCGTTTCTTCAGTTCTCTTTACTTAATTTATCGCGCAGCAGTTGCATTATTTATGGCTCTCCTCTTTTGTATTATATCACCACCACCTTCGATGGAAAGAAAAAGGGATAATACTTTGCTGCTCCGAATGAATGGATTAAGGTTTATCATCAGTACATTTTTTCTTGTTTGTTGTTGCCGTGTATCCTTCATCTTCTCTTGAGGAGGAAGAAAAAGTTGTTGCCTTTATCCTATTTGCGAGAGGAATTCGATTTGACCTGATAGATATACCGATTGCGAGGGTCGGAGCGTTCGTGAAGACATCCAAGTGTAAATCTGATAACCTTCTATTTTCTTTTTCTCTCTCTACTTTTCGGAGGTCCCTTTTCTCCTGCAAATCCCATATCGTCTTATCTATAATCGCGCGCGGAGGAGTGAGGACGAAAATGATGTATTTTAGGTGGCAATGCTTAACCAACTTGAAACACATTACATTACACTCTCATCTTATTGCTTCGCTTTATTAACTTAACTGAAAGATTTCCTAAATCAATCAGTTTTGTTGTGCATAGATTCTTATATCAAGTATGAAATGAAATCAATAGTTTTTGTTTATTTAAGTATTGATCTGAAGTAAAAATAGCCATGATACATGTATCGTGACGGAAAAGGATAAAGGACAAAGTGTGCATTGCAGGAGATGTTTTAACAACACTCGTAGTTGTGCTAGAGCATGATGACAACAAAAAGGAAATGGTTGCAGAACGGAGGAGGTAATTGGTGATGGCCTTGTAGGAAGGGAAGATTGCTGCATGCCAAGACAGACGTAGTATTGTAGATTGCAAACGGAGCAGTGAAGTAATGCTCTGTACTGGAGCAAATGTAAGCGAGATTCCTATGGGAGTTGAACGATGCGATATTAAGCAAAAAAAAAAACTTAACAAAATTGTGTTGAAACAAATTTAACGTATTGAAAATTAATTAAATATTTTATGGACATTTTGGACTTTGACCAGATTAGGGTTAAAGTTTAATAATTTGTCTGATATTTTTTTAATTTCATCATCTATGAAATTCATCCACCCCGCTGACTTTCAATTAGTAAATTCCTGCCAACGTTTTGGCTATCAAATAATTTCATTCCGCCACCCTCCGCCCCTCTCTGCGAGTTCAGGGTTTTGCAGGTCCGGGCGTGCCCCAGATTTCTACCGCATCGAAGTGGGATGAGACTCCCCCATTTTTTACAGATTCTTCTCATTTTTTTTGTATCAATTTTGTTGTTGTAAATCCAATTCGAAAACGCAGAGGCCCATTATTTAATATCCGGTTCATTCTATGCTCGAAATTGGGGCGCTCTACTGAAGAAAAAAAAGGGGAGATAAAACAGAAGAATTAGCGGCGAAAATGCGAATTTTCAGAACTTGAGAATAAGAATCGAAGGGCTCAGTGAACGTTAACATTTCTCTTTTTTTTTTGTTGTTTTTTGTCGTCCGAGTTCGAATTTCTGCCCTTCGGCAACTTCGTAATTGCACATTCAATTTCTAATCGGGTCCCGTGCGGTTTCCGCCGTCGCAAGTTCAACTAGTTTTAATCATAACATTGTAATTGAATTTTCAGACCTTTTGCACCAATTACCCGACGTCAATTCTCATCTTTGACAAAAAAAAAAAAAAAATATATATATATATAAATCCAATCGATGCGGCTTCTGTTCCAGCAGACTTTCAGAAGATCCGCACTTTAATCGAATCTGCATGTGGTAAACAACAGTGATTGTGCAAAACTTCAAATCCTTTATTGCGAAAGTTCAAACGCCGAAATCAACAACAACAAGGGGTTATTTCATCGAACTCGATTCCAGTCTAATTCGATTATTTCCAAAGCCCCCTCGCGATTACTAACCTCGTAACCATAGTTACCTAATATCTGATTACTTCGAATACTTGAAGGATTACGTCAAATGCGACAGTTGCTTAGGTTTCATGCAAATCATTTCAACCCTTATAGTAGAATTTCATTATCAATTCATCTAATTTCTTGCATTAATTCAATTTACATTAATAATGCAAAACCAGAACGTTTTCTTATTTATTTACTAATAACTTTCAAATAAAAATGGATTTAATTAATGACATTTCAATTGTTACAGTATTGCAACATGTCACTTGATTACGAAATTGACGTAACCACTTGTTTTTTTTTATATAATCTTTTCTTTATAATCACCATTATATATTAATTTGTTTTTCTTCGTCAGATGAATATTTAATATTACGTAAAAAGGTAAATTATGTTTTAATACAGGTACTTTATTTATTACGGCCCAAGAGAAATTGGAAGGAATGGCGCAGAGATGAACAAAGAAGAAAATAATGCAAGAAAAACTGTGTTAATTATGCGGTCTTTGGCATTTAATTAAGGTCTGCTCTGTTATTAAAAGAATCAGACAGACGGAGGGAGGGATGAATGAGAGGGCTTGCGGCGTTTTTGGGGAAGAGTTCGTTAAACTTCCTGGACTAATGTAATTCCAATTAAAACAAATTAGAGGCGAGAGGAGAGGAGTTATATGGAAATTTAACGACATCTCTGGGTGACTTTTCTGTTTGGGTGAGTGGAGGAGGTTCAATTTCCGAAGCTCGCGGAAATTTGTTAACCGTTAGTTTTAAGGACTTTATTAAGGGAAATTTATTCGCGCTATTTAAGTACTTCCTCCCTCCCAAAACGGATGCCGCTGCCAACGAAGATATAGTGATGTTTTGTATATTTACATGTTAATGACAAAATGGAATGAGTTTTCGATAATTACGATAATTTGAAATGCATATTAAAGATGAAATTATTGTCTTTACATTTTGCTAAATTGTTATTCTACTCTAACATGTATATACATAAACGTTGCATCGTTCTTCCACGAATTTAATCCTTGGAGAAGGACGATGCGAGCAGATACACGAGCTTATCCACTTCGACATTCACGGTCGCAATCTCTTAAAAATCCCCGAGATACATACACATACACACATGCCTGAGGATAACGGCTGTGGCGTCGCGTGAATTTTAATTCCCCTCTCAGGATTCCCTTTTGCTGCTCCACCACCATCCACGTATTCTTTTGTTTTTCGCTTGTTTTTTGTTTTCCTTCTTTTTCTCTCGCTTCTCCTCCATCTCCCCCTTTCGTTCACATACCTAGGTGATCGATAAACCGCGAGCCAAAAATAAGGGAGTGAAATTGAAAAGGCTTCGTCCTTTCTGTTTGCCAACCAAAACCACCCCTCCCTTTCCCATTCTATCATTCTTCCTTTCTCCTCTCTACACGTTGACCTCAATATGGGAATTTTTACGAGTCTGTTTGTCGCAGGTTTTCATCACGCGAAAAGCCACCTTCCTTTTTTTTTCATCATATCTTCGCCATCCCTTTAATATTTCCTCCACTCTCTCCACATTCACGAATTGTGATGCAACCCTTCTATCCAACATTTTTTATTCTTGTTGTTTCTTGTTTATTGTCACGCACATCGTAATATCCGCCTCGTTGAATGGGCTCGTATACATGACAGTCACTTTTGCAAATTGTCAACCCTTATATTAATTTATGGACGCAGCGAACGAGCAAATTTACACAGGCTTTTACGCGCACTGCGAAGAGAGCTAATTTTCATTTCAAAAAAATAAAAATGTTCATATACGTCCTCGTCCTTGCACCCTTTCCCAAACACGCTTTCACACTCCGCTGATTAATTCGTTCCCATTCCATCATCATCATTTCATTTTTCATTCACGCTGCAATTTCAAAAACTTTGTTTAACTGAAAGTAAATGAAATTAAAAAAAAAAAATTGCTAAGGTAACGCAATAATAATGGAAAGGAAACCGCCATTATTGATGGTCGTAACTAAGGAAACTAAATTGTTTACGGTGATAGCAGGAAGTTGTTATTTAACCTTTTCATTAGAGTTTCAGGAACTTTACTTTGCCGTAACTGAAACGCGCGCGAAGGAATTGCAGCAGCGATAAGTAAACATTGTTGACATAATTTCTGTGCATTTCGCGTCGAAAACATGACTATTATGCTTATGCAACCCCCCTTTTTTATGTCATCGTAAACGTCGTTTCCATGGAAACGACATATACGTCAAATTGCAAAGAAGAAAAAACAAGCGAAGACGAGAAAACCATTACCATTAAGTTATTACAATAACGAATATAATTTCGATACTAATAATAGAAGACAACACATTGAAGCTGCACAGAGATAGCTTCCATTTTATTGTTATTGTTTATGGTTGAAACCAGATTATCGTTGCGGTGGAAGCAGCAGAAGACATAAAGAAATCGCAAGTCAAAGAAAAAAAAATTATATACCTCAACGTTGTTTCTCCATACATTTTATCTGAAACATGATTAAACTGCTGATCTCGCTGTTATATAGCCTTTTTATGTTGTCATAAACGTCGTGTGCGATGAAACATTGCGAATTTAAGGAGAGAGAATTTAAAAGTAAAACGTTAAATTTAATTTATTTTAAGATCTAATTATTTTTTTTTCAAATTTGTTTCATGATTTGAATAATCAATGTTTTAACTGTCGATTTCGCATTGCTAAAGTATTGATGTAATCGGTTTTCGTTTCGGAAATTAAAGGACGAGAGATTGCGTCGGTTGTTTTCGAAACGCTTGTAATTTCAAATAAAAGTTTGGGTTAAAAGTCACGTCCTTTGGTGCAGCTCACCCTCGTCACGCGTATTCATGTATATATACACAGATCTGCTTTTAATTATGGAAATTTAGGGATCCTTCATTAAAATATCCATCACAATCACAAATGCAAAAAAAAACAACAACCCGAAACT